GTCCCACTGTTGAAGAGTATTCAAAACAGGATAATTCTTTCTTTAAACTCCCCGTTCCACCTATTATCTTTCAAAAATACCTAAAGGAATTATAATAGCTGATAGACCTCAATAAAGCTAATCCAAAGGCACAATTAGCCAACTAACTTTCATCTTCTAATATAACAGGCTAGTGCGTGACCCACAAAAGCAGCACCTTTCAGTCTCCATTTCAACTTGGCCACACATTGTTCAAAAAAAGTTGACAAGTCGAAATATTGTTGGTTTCTCTTAACAAAAAACAATATCCATAAAGTAGCCCAGTTAGGATTTTTTTTGTCAAATAATTGAGAAGAAAATGACCAAGCAAAGAGAAAATAACCATGAAAACCTCATCCTTTGCAATACTTTTTCTCATTTTTAGGCCACCATAACTGATTTTAAGTCACCCTTAACTTAAATTGCCTTGCTTTTTACAATATTTTCCACGCAGAGCATGTCACTTCTTTGTGCACCTGATAACAGATGCAATGCAAAAAGAGACACAATGTAACAGCTACATATCCCCTTCCTCTTTCTCAAGACACTGCAATGACCTGGATGTAAAACGTAGCGAAGAAAAGCCTCTTTTTTATTATTTTTTACTTCTCTCTCTCTCACTCCCTCTCTCTCTCTTTCTTTCTCCCTGATACCTTTAAAGATTTCCCTTAGAACGAATATGGGACTCATCATTCGACGATGAATTTGCATGTCGATCTGCAGCCAGTGTAGCAGCCCTCAGATTAGGGACATTCCGCTGCACACTAAAAGGTACAAAGAACAAGAAGTGCATTTCCATCTGCCCTTCCTTTCCAGTCAGTGCATTCCCAGCCATGTCTATTGATGAGTACTTGGAACAATACCAAAATGCAGTGTAAGATCAATCCTGCTGTTTACTTCGCTGAGCTAAAGGAACAAAGAACAGAAGAAAGGCCTTAAACCCAGCCATCGTCAAGGAGCAGGGTGAGAGATGAAAATGGGTCTGATGGGCAGTTGCACAGAGTAAACGTGTTTGGAGAAGCAGCAGCCCCAGCTGAGATAAAACCAATGACGATTTGTATTTTGTGCAGTATCTTCAGGGGATAAAGGCACTTCTATCAGATAGCGTTGGAGGCAAACTTGAAACACTGCAGTAAAAGGGCTGTGTTCCTTGCCAGGGAGAGAGCAAACTCTCGTAATTGCTGGGCAGTGTTAAATATCTGACTGTGCATGCCTCTGTCCTTCCATGGTGAGGCGACTCAACCAGGCCCTCCTTTTAACTCCACCAGCTCTGCTAACCCAGTAGTTGGCTGGGCCCTGCTGTCAACAAAGCAACAGGATACTGGGTTTTACTAGGATAAACACCAGTAATTGTAATTTGTGGGATTATTTGTCTTTAAGCCTTTTAAAAGTTCTTTAATAGAGGAAGCCCAGCAACTTCGTTGCTGCCAAAATAAGAGTTGGGTATGGGTGGAGGTGGGGATGGGATGAGAGCAGAGAGGCAGAGTTCGTGCTCAAACTCAGATATTTTGAGAAAGGGAAGACAGAGCAACAAGGCCATGACAGCAAGATTCAAATTTTCTCTTTCTGAATAAAGAGCAGGTGCAACACATTGCTTCACTATTGAGTGAAACCACGAGGCACTGGCCAACCGCCATGGCGGCGGGGCACCCCAGGTAAAGGGCATGAGGAAGGCAAAAGCCAGAAATACCCAGGCACCAGGGGACACACCCTCCTCGATTCTCCTTCCACAGCTAGATACACAACTTATCCTTTAGCCTTACTATGCAAGTGTGGCCCGAGGACCATCAGCATCAGCATCTCCTGGAAGTTGGTGAGAAATGCAGAATCTCAGGCCTTGCCCCAGCCCTGCTGACTGCGAATCCCAGGAGCTGGGGCTCAGGAACACTGGTGCTCAGGAAGAGCTCAGAACCACAGCCTACCATTCCCCCCCAGAAAACTGTTCTGACTCCTGCAGCACTCAGCAAACCCTCCCTTCTCTGAGTCCTGTACCCCCGATTGCTGTGTCAATCACAAAACATTAATATATGCCTTCACACACAGAGGAGATTCAACAAATACATCAATTTGTTGAATTGTATTTATGTGCCCTGACTTATGTGTATTTATGTGCCCTGACTCACTCAGTAGACGTCAAAGTTTTTGAGAACAGGGACTCTCTATTAGTTTCCTTTGAAACCTTCCCAAGGCCGGGCACACACAGGTGCTCATTAATTATTGGCGTGATCTGGGCATCAGGACTCCTGTTTCTATTTGGGATATTAAAGTAGAGGATGTTGGGTGGATTCCTCATTGTCAAGGAAAAGTCAGCACTGTCATACCTGAGTTACTCTGACAAAAGAATATGACAGCCTGAACTGAAAGCCTGAACTGAAAGCAACTGGGCTCTAATCATCAAGTGACTCAGTTTCCCCCATTTGCAAAGTAGGCATGGAAAATCATAAACACATGAGTAAATACTTTGTAGAGATATTAAAAATTCACTGCAAAATATTTATCCTCTGAGTGGGCGGAGAAGTACTAAGTAGCTGCAGTCTGGCATATCTATTAATTTGCAAAAAGTCAGATTTGTCCTTTTAAACTTAGCTTTTTATGAGAAAGCCTGTCACTAAGTTCCAGAAATTATATGGAGGTGACCGAAGTTAATTCTCAAACAACTAAGCTAGCTGGATATAATTTACCCTAAAGTGAGTTAAGGAAACTGAGGCTCAAAGAGATAAATAATTTGTCCAAGGCCACCAAATTGCACATCAGAACACAGATTCCAGAGCCCACACCTGCTCTCTCACACCACACTGGAGAAAAAAAAAAGAGGAATTAAATAATGCATGGAAAATGTAATGCGCAGGCTCTTCTATACACTCTCAGGGAGTGGGAGTGCATGCAGTAGTAGGGACCTGGCTTTTACCTACCAGGAGACAGGTACACTCAATGAAACAGCTTTGTAATTACATAGGTAAGCATAAGAAATATCAGTATGTAAAACCATATCCACACAATGCCAAATAGCTGGATTTTTAAAATAAAAATATTCTACCATATATTTATAAATTCTATCCAAATATTTATAAATAGTGGGTTCCTGAATTTTCCATTTTTTCTCAGATATTTGAGAGACATGTGGACACAACTTACAAGTCCCAAGCTTCTGAAGGAGATTTTCCTCCGAAGAAGAACTTTGACATTAACCAGAAAACACATCAAGAATCTAAGATGCTTCTTATTGTTCATATGATCTGAGCATAGAAAATACACTAGACACCACACAGAACATTAAGGGAGACTCGATTTCAGTCAAGAGGGCTCATAATATAAATTAGAAAGACACAAGCTAAATTAAATAGACACCATCTAAATTAGATAAGCAACATCATCAGAGTTCTGATTCCTTCCCGCAGGGATTATGGGAGAGAAAGTTTCTCAGAGGCCCTAATACACACAAAGGTCTCTGTTTCCCAGGTCAATAGGTCATTCTGTTAAATTTTACTGTGTATCCACTATGTCCAAGCTCTGACCTTAATGTTTTTCTGAATGCTCTAGGGTGGTTAAAAATAGCATTGACTTCATAAGGAGGGAAGAGGCTTAAGGATGAGAGTTGTACAGTTTATCAGTGTGTTTCATTAAAATTATAGTTTTGTTAGCCCCCAAAGGTAGAATTTTCCTGCCTTGCTTGTTGCACTCTATGTTTTTCCCTGAAAAAGTGAGCCCGGTGCAGACGGAAGGAGACCTCAGTACAACCTCAGAATCAGGAAGGTGTGGCTGCCTGCACCTCAGACGCCCTCCGAGTGGCTTCACTAATGAAAATAAGACAACTAGCAGCTTGAAATCATAGAGCGCTCTAACACTGTTGCTTCTTTCCTAAGTATCAAAGCCTCCAAACAGACTTTCCCATAAAGACCTAAGGTGCAGGATGGTTGAGTGTCTCATTCAAGATCACATGTTGTTAGTGCAGAAGCAAGACTGAGGCCAGCTCTGGACACCTGGTGCACAGCTCTTTCCTCTGCTTTGCTCTGAAACTGTGGCCCCTTCCAGAGTTTGGCCAAGAGAAATATAATGTGAGCACAGATATGAACCACACGTGTCATTTTGAGTTTTCTAGTGGCCACATTTTCAAAAGTAAGAAGAAAAAAGTAGAGCTGGCTTCATAATAGATATTATTTAACCCCATGTATCCAAACTATCATCATTTCAACATGTAATTGATATTAAAAATTTTTTTTTACTTTTCAAAAAATTTTTATTTTCAAAAATAATTTTTAAGCAGACCATTTTGTTAATGAGCCAATATAATAAAAATAATTTGGGGTTCATAAATAAATGCCAAAAATTAGATAATTTTGATTATCTTTAGCACATCCTTTCACTCTCAAAAATGTCCAAGTCTGAACTACAAATTATGTGGTAACCCTATTCATGACCAAAAATAAAAGGAAAAGTAAATTGGTCATGGGATAAGAGTAAAGGAAGTAATATTTAGAGAGCACCGGAATTAGATATTGTATTATCAGTTATTTTTTCGATATTAAAAATTATTAATGAAATATTTTACACTCCTTTTTTCATACAAAGTCTTCAAAATTCCTTGTGTATTTCACACTTTTAGCCCACCTCAATTTGGACCAGCCCCACCAGTGCTCAATGGCCGCATGTGGCGACCTTATTGGGGAGCACAGACTTATAGCGTCTGTCTGGAATATTTCAACAGTCAAGCCTTGCCAAGCCCAACTCAGGACTGCAAAATACACACAACAGCCCTACTTGGATGTGGGAGAAAGGCTTCCAGGCAGCCTCCACCCCTAAAGAGACTCACTCCTGTCCCCAGTAGAAAGCTGCAGAAGTATTAACCCCTCCCCTCCCGTAGTGCCCAGTGGACAGCATTTTCACACAACCTCCTGGCAAGCTATGAGGGGGCATTGTAGAGGACGGCTGCATCACGTGTTCTTGCAGATTATTATTTTATTAAGGAAGATAGAAAAAAATACCTTTAGCAATTCAGCAAATATCTTCTAAGTGACACCTATGTGTCAAGCCGTGAGTCATGTTCCGGAGACACGGTAGCCAACAAATCGCAGCCTCCTCGTGGAGCTTACCTTCCAGTGGGGGTGACCTGAGAGATAAATAAGCATATATGAAGAAAACAATGACAGTCTGTGATAACTTCTGCCAAGGAAATAGACAGGATAAAGGGACTGTAGCATTCAGTGAATGTCCACTATGTGCCAGCTACTACGTTATTCTCCTTCACCTGCAGTAGTGCTAATAATGACCACGTTTATTACTGCTTAAAATATCAGGAAATATGATATATTTCCCTATTTTTATCATCTCTTACACTTATAAGAACCTTACAAGTTAAATCTTACACATAAAAGCCCAATGTTCAAAGAGACAATCGCTGAAGTTCACACCACTGGCAGGTTGGGGTAACCACAAGCTCAGATCAGACAACACCCTTCTCTTTCTTCTCTACCATGGGGTCTTCATTTTTATATCATGCAGATTTGGTGAATGGCGATAAGGAATAGAAACTGCACCAACACTGAATGGAACAATCGGAGCCTTTACTTTAAGGACTGAACTTCAAGCCACTGGGAATGGGATTTCTAAGAAGCCCTGAAGAGAGAATATCATTTTAAACATTAGGCCGTGGTACATCAGGGATGACACTGGGCTGCATCTCCCAGATCCACTCTTGAGGCTGTCTGGGAATGGTGACACTACCTCTGGCCTTAAAACCATTTAGTCATTTGCCACTATTCATTTTGTTATATTTTAAAAGCCTCAAGTTAAAAGAACTTCAAGTTATATTAGCATAAATACCTAAGCAAGCAGAACCAATAGGTGTTTTCCATCCTAACTCTGATGTCCCTAAAGGGACAGGCCTGGAAAATACCCTGTTAGATCAGCAGAATGTCCAGATGGGACACTGACTTGGAGCAAACAGGGTTGTCAGTGCCATGTTTCTCCCCAGAGACTGGCTTGCCTAGAACACGTGCCCAACCACACCAGAGGAGGATTTCCGAAGACCAGAGCGATGGCCCCTAACACAACAGCACCCCCTAGGCAGAGTGTCTTCCTCTCCCACCTTCTGTAACCCGGAAAATGGTTATAGTACCTTTCAGTAGTAAAGAGACCACCTCAAAATCTTCTGAAACTCCGACCTCCCCAGCCTAAACCCTGATATTACTGTGTTTTCCACAACAGTCAGTCACAGGGGACGCGAAAATCTCTCTCTCTTCCGATCATGGCACAGTCACAGGACAACATAATCTTTGGATGAGAAAACTTCCTCTGCAAACAAAGGAATATTTCTCCCTGTGTGGCGGGAGACATTTAGCCCTTCTAATATCCCCTGTTGTGGAAGGTGAGCCTTCCAGGCTTTGGTGATGGGGATAATTACAAGGGGATTTGCAGCCAGGGCCTGCAGGTGGGAGGGAAGGAGGAGAAAAAGCAGGAATCCCAACCACATTTTCACGTTAGTGAAGCATCTTCATGCTCGAAGTGAGCGCTGCTTCCCAATAACTCACTTCTCTCTAAAATAAAGTCTTCTCAGTTGTAAAAAATCCCTGTAAAAAAATGGTTTCCACAGTCAGAAATGTTGAAATTTCTGAGAGCTTTGAGCTCTTTTTAGCCTGGCTCACAAAAGTACAACTGCCAGGCAGATATTCTCACAGCCTCTGCCATCTTTATTTCACATTGTGATGCAGTCAGGGTACAAGTTGACAGTCATTTTTACAGCTAAAGCTGGTTACCAAAAAATAAATAAATAAAGGCAGAGGGCCTACTGTTTGGAGAGTCCAGGCAACCACCAGTCCATCTGCTCCAACAACTAGGCCACTCAGAAGTCTTATTCAAGGGCAAAACATCAGAAAACAGGAGAGATGTAAAAGGCAAAAAAAGACAGATGACTACCGTCCAAGGTGAGTGTCTCTGTGGACAGGCATGTTTCCAGTTCAGTGATCCGAGCTGAAACCAGAGCATGGGCTGTCCTAAAGAGCTTGTACAAAGCCATCTGGTCCAGTGAGCTGAGGGACACCCTGCCCTTGTCTAAGTGCATGGGGAAATCTTGTCAACTTCTCCACCACCTGGAACTTCTCAGTGTCTGAGTAGACGGTAGGCACACCTCTCACCCACGAAAGGAGTAAGACCGTGTCAGTGGAAAGCTTCACAATTCGCCTGACATTAGATGCATTTCAAATCTCCATATGCCTTTATTTTGGTTAGTTGGCTGGTTGGTTGGTTGGTCAATTAGTTAATTTAACCCACCTTCCTTTGTACTCCTTATAATGAGATGTCAAGATCTTCCATGATAAAAAGCAAGAAGGATAAATGATTCTTCAAAGAATGGTATATCGGGGTTTTTTATTTCAGATGTAGAGCAATGTTGAGTAATAACATGTAATGTTTTTGTTTATGTTACTCAGAATAACTACACTTGGCCTTTTTTCTAGAGAAAAAAAAATCCTCCCTGAGTCCTGCATCTCAGAAGAGGGATTACACCTCTCTTCCCTGCATGCCCAGACTGCTCTACTCCCAATACATTAATTGAAGAATTCTCACAAAGTGACTAGAAAGGAAGGAAAACTATCATCGAACTTTTGCTATTTTATTGCACATGTTAAATTACATTTAATTTCTTATAATACTGTTTTTCAAATATTATTCACACACACTCTCTCTCATCCTTTGTTTAACAGCACAAATAATTTGTACCTTCAGTTGCCTCTGACTGGTGTGCACATTCTAAAGGACAGGGTCTCTGGCATGCACGAGTGATGCATTTCCACCATGCAGATCAGGAAATCACAAGCAGGGGCACTAAACAACTTGCCCACATACAAACAGGTAGTTCTAATGCTCAGGCCCAACTTCACCAAAATGTTTGAACCTGGAAGTAAAGGAAGGAAGAGAAGACAAAGGAAGCAAAAAAAAAGAGAGGTTACAAAGGAGAGGGTGAGAAGAGAGAGAAGGAGGGCTCCCAGTGCCTGTAGACTCTTCCCATTCTTGTCCCCCCTTTTCCTACATAAGCCACTAGGAAAGTAGGCAGGGGCAGAGGGCAGGGGAAGGACAGGCACAGAGCTGTTCACAGCCATGCTTCTTCCACCGTGTGATCCTTCTGTCAACTAGCGTTCTTCCTACCGACCCTTTCTTTCTTCACACCTCTCCTCTCTCATGTCTCTCTCCCACTCATGCCCTCAAAATTTCTTCTTGTGATGACTATCCTCTCTCTTCTCCCAACATTTATACCCTTATCCAGTTTCCTTTCATATTCAATTTCCAAAATTTACTGCCTTTTCCTCAAGTTAAGCACTGAACCTGGACCCAGAATAATCTCAAGAATTATCCATTCTTCTGTAGACTGTCTCCTCCTTCACATCCCAAGTTTCCCCGCCCCATCTCCCATCCCAACCCCACGGCAAGGGTTCCTAAGTCTCTGTGGACTGAAAGTCACCTGCTTCCCTCCCAAAACACCCCATGTACTTGAGCCGGGCCCCACCATCAATCAGCTAAGAGGCCTCGAGACAAGTACGGTAAACACACACTGTGATCAAAGATGCTATTAATAATAATACCATTAAACAGGCCCTGGCAGGCTGGGGTTAATCTGGAAACACGCATGCTCATCACACATGAAGCCCATAATACACGGTTGAGGGAGGATCTTAATTCTCCTTCTCTCTAACACTCATTTATATTCCAAAGTCTCTACCTCTCTCCCGACAGAATCATTCAACACAATAGGATTTTCTCTGCTCAAACCCACCTTCACTTTAAAAGAACCAAAAAGGATCGGCTTAGCTCCTGTCGCTGGCATAAAGGCTTTTTCCCTTTGACAACTGGCCCGGGGATCTGTGGCTTCATCTCTTCATCTTTTTTTTTTTTTTCAGTGTGCATTTGTACAAAACTCAGAGTCTTTATTGTAAGCGCTATGAAATTGTATTGACTTCACATTGACCCAGCATTGGATGGTCTTGCACATTGGAATGATGGGATATTAATTTCCAACCAGTCTGGGTTAAATCAGCTTGCTATCCCTGAGAAGTAACTCAGAGGTGGTCTGTGTTCCCTCTAACTTGGCTTTAGAAGAAGCTGTTTCCCCCTAGAAGTAAGGGCAGTGACAGGAGTTTGGCCCAACAGTGCCACCCTGGAAGCAGTCACCCTTGGCTCTCCTTCGCGACAGAAGCAGCAGGCAAGGGGCATGTGAGGTCTGTGTGTGTGACATCAGCAGGAAACTACAGCATGTGCCAGCAGGAAAGCATCCTAGACTTGAACACCCCGAGGCTGCTCCCTGCCCACTGTCACTAAATCCCACCTGGAGCTTCCCTGAACTCAGGCAAGAACAGCATCTTGATAGGGTCCATCTGTCTTCTTGGAAAAGCCACCACCTGTAAAAAACAGTCTATATGGGACATCCCTGCACTGACCCCGGATTACCCAGAAACATTCCCTGCCCTACTCTGCTTGTTTCCCAACCCTGATTTTGCAAAACTGCAAGGTGGCTTCTCTCATCTCGAAGTACATTGAAAAGTTTTTAGATTCAATTCTCAAAACAAAATGCATTCCTTTTGCATTTTTTTGAAAGTTTCTTGCACTACATTTAGGAGAAAATAGAGAGTAAATTATGTTAAATTAAGCAAAGGACTACTACTAGTGTCCCTCAAATAGCGTGTCCCTCAAAATAGTGAGTGATACTATGAAATGCATTGAATGTAGGACAAAAATATTCAGGCCACCTGATTTACTGGGGACATTCTTAACTTTAAAGAAGTAGTGGACCCAGGGGTTTTACAACAGCTATTTTGTGTTTGCATATAGACATGAACTCCAGTACAACAAACCTCATTTTTCCCACCAGGCCCAACCCAGTCACTCTTTCACAGGTGCAACCTCAGACTGGTGAGAACTTGGACCACAGCCTCCTGTATTCCTCTGTATTCCTTCTCTGAATCGGCCTCATGTGAATAAAATCTAGAAATAGATTTGCTTCCCCAGACAGCCACTGCCTGTGCGAAACAGTGGCCATTTCTGGAGATGAAACAAAATTTCAGCTGCTGTGTTTTCAGGCACACCAACTTCTTCATTTATTCATACATTCACTCATTCGACAAATAGGTACAGACTATCCCCTACCAGGTCTAACACTAGGGGACTAGTAAATAAGAGTAATCTGTCCCTCCCCTTATGAAGCTGACGTTAATTAACAAGTGAATAAAATAATTGCAGATTAGAATAAGTGACATGAAAAGACAAACCAGGGTCAAAAAAAGCTTCTTATAGGTGGGACTGACTTAAGACTGGGTGAAGGCTTCAATTAAGGTAACATTTAAGCTGAAATTAAAAGGCTGAGAAAAAACTCAGCATCCTAAAATTGAGAGTATTACCTTCCACTTAAGTTCAAGGAGAGGGAAGAGCAAGTGCAAAAGCCCTGAGGTTGGAAGGAAGTTGGGGGGTTCAAAGGTTAAAAGAAGCCTGATTTGCCTAGTGGGGCACATAGTCACAGGGGGAGTTTGGTGCAGGTCGAGACCACATCTGTTACCCTGTCATAGGTCCCCAATTCCTTGCTTGCTCTCTCTTCTGAAGGAAGTAAGTCCGAATGCAAGTAAGGAGGAGGAATAGCATAGAGATAGCCTCGGATCTGCTCTAACTTATAAAAAGAAGCAATCACAAACTTTGAGACTTTACCAAATGTGGGTAATACATTGTCTATGGCAGGCCTCAGTCGCGAACATAACGCACCATCATCTTGGGACACCACGTTTGGAAATCAGAGGCTTAGAGAACAGGCTCAGGAGTCCCACGCTCCTGGCTTCTTCTAATCCTGCTCCATGTCTCTTAACTTTTCTGAGATTCAGGCTTTTGCTGACACATGGTGGGATTTGCTAATGGGGGCACCTAAGAAGGCATGTGTTCACCAAATGCTACCCTTAGTAGTAATCCATTGGATATTTACTTAAAAGTCACTAATTGATAGTTTATCAAATAAATAACTTCTTAGTCCAGTCTTAGTACATAATTTGTTAATCCAGCCCACTTGCTCGGTGAACACAAAACTGAATGTTCGATGGCAGTGCTATCCGATAGAAATACAACGCAAACGACAAATGTGAGCTGTCTGCATAATTTTAAACGTTTCTAGTAGCCACATTAGAAAGATTTTAAAGATTGAGAAATTAATTTTAATAATATATATAAATCAGCATATCCAAGCATTATCATTTCAACATGTAATCAACATTTTTAAAAGTATTATGTGATATTTTACATTCCTTTCTTTTGTACTGTTTTTGAAATTGAGTGTGTTATCCTTACTTATAGCACATCACAATTCAAACTAGCCACATTTCAGGTGCTTCATAGTCACCTATGGCTAATGGCTTCTACATTGGACAGCATAGCTCTATAGAGATAATGAGATTTGTAGACATTTGGACTCCATGGTATATTTTTAATATAATTGCAAAATTGATGAAAAAAATAAGGTGATAGAGAGATAAAGCCGACCCTCTCCTTCAGAAGTCTATTCAGGCTTCTGAGAATTGATGAAATCTCCAACTCTCCTGCCTCCTTGAACTATTCATGGAGCATTCATTTAGTCCTCTATTCATTTATTCATTCAACAAACATTCATTGTCCAGGCACCAGGTGCTGGGGCACAGACACGAACAAACACAATTCCTGCCCACAAGATGATCCATATGTGAGTGATAATCTTCCAGTCCAGGGGATAGTCAGCAGATCCTCAGGATTTCTCCTTCCCCAGCTAGAATATGTGAGAAATGAGTTCATGTTTTGACTCCTCTGCTAACAAGCCAAGTACCCAGAGAAAGCATTTTCCCCATTGTGGTTTCTGCTTCCTTATGTGTAAAATGTGTGCGTTGATCTGAATAACTATGAGGAAGTGTCCTTTCAGTAAGAGATTGCAGCTTTAGTCTGAACCTCATTACCCTGTGGCTTGTCCCATTGTGAGTGAGACCGTGGGATAGCAAGCTGAAGGAAGCCCCACCCCAGAAGAAAATGCAGCTTTGCTCACTTCTTTATCCTTTCCCTTCTGGGCCTTTTGTGGTTGCAAGAGTGGTCTGGCTTTGTTTTGCTTTGCTTCGTTTTAATTACATTCAAAATTAGCAAAACCGTCCCCATGATCCACCTAGAAGAATAATTGGCCCACGAGGCACATCTGACTGTGTGGCGAGACCCTCTTGTCATCACACCAGAGTCTCACACACATTCTGCTCCCAGGTAGATGATGTCTAAGACACCCAGAGAGCTCATCTAGCCCATCATTAACCTCATTTTGAGACAGCCCCAGAGGCAGTCCTTTGCCACCGGCACAGCTGGCTGTCAGTTGTGTCAAGCAGGTAACATGTCAGTTAGCAAGGGAGCAATCCAAAGAGGTACCCATAGATCCAAATGCCTAAAAGGTACTCTGGAATGTGGTAATTATGTCCTGCAGCTGCCAGAGGTATATTCCGTGAGTTCACAGACAGTACTTATACCATGGAAAGAGGAGGATGGATCACAGCATCTGGGCTGTTAATAACAAACAACAGGTCTTGGTTCTAACTCACCAACACAGTCCTCAGAACTCAAGTGATGATTCATCTTCAAGTTTGTACGACTCTTTCCAGGAGGCTCTGATCCCCTTGATATAGGTGCCGTGAATTTGTGTTCCTGAACAGAAGTGCAGGGGAAAGCGGGGAAAGTTAAGAGTAAATAATAGGAGGGTTAAAAAAGAGAATAATCTATCTCTAGTTTTGTTAAGCATTATGTGGCTCTATTTTTACAGGTGAAATTTCCCAATTTCCATGTTTTAAAAGCATGAGCAATTTTTCATAGTTTACCCCCAAATAGCTTTTCCTTAGTTTGCTTTTCTATTGATAGTAAAATGGAATAACAGGCTATCAAATGACCCAAAGTTACAAGTTAGTGTGATCACTAGATATGAGGAGAACCAAGGGCTCTAGCATATCAGAATATTTTGGTAAAGCCAACAAACTTCTCTTTTCAAGAAACTTCAGCTATAATGTTCGCTGAAACCCACATATCTTGGCCATCTCCCTTTCAATCAGTCTCCAGTGTAGAGCTCATCTTTCTGAGCTGCATGGAATAGCCAGCGGTTTTCAGGCTCTGCAGGTTATATTTCCACCTGCCTCCAAAGGGTTCAGGTTTGCGTTGCAGAGGCACATCCTGAACCCACAGCAGTCATTGCTGATTGGTCATCATGATGCTCCTCATGGATACAGACACAGCCTCAGAGTCATCTCAGTCCAGAGCCCTCCAGCATCACCTACCAATGAGTCAGAGTTGACATGTGTCTGGCCTAGCATCTCCCCTGAATTATGAATTGACCACATGTATTACTTTCCCATGGCTGCTGCAACAAATTGCCATGATCTCTGAGACTTAAAATAACACAAATTTATTTTCTTACAGTTCTGGGGGTCAAACATGTAAAATGGGTCCACAGGGCTGTATTCCATCAGCGGCATTAGTGAAGAAACTGTTTGCTTGCCTTTTCCACCTTTATAGGGCACCTGCATTCCTTGGCTTGTGGCCCCTTCCTCCTCTTCAAAGTAGTGTCACACAGAGCTACTCTCCTCCCTGACTTCTGAGTCTAACCATACACTTTCTCTCTCTGATGCTGATCCTTCTGCCTCCCTCTCCTAGGGACCCTTCTGATTATATTGGGCCTATCCTGTTAAGGCACCATAATCTCCCCATCTCAAAGTCCTTAATTTAATCACCTCTGCAGTCCTTCGTGCCCTGCAAGGTAACATAGTCACAGATTCCAGGGACTAGGATGTGGACATCTCTGGAAAGACATAATCTAGCCCACTACATCGTGTTTCCTAGAAGACTCCCATGTAGAACTACAGAAGAGATGTGTTGGTAAGATTTATGTATAGGATCTGAGTACATGAGCTGAGAGACTGATTCACCATGATTATTAACATGCAATAGTTGTCCTTTAATCAAAATCAAACAAATGTCTCTCAAAATATGTCTCTGGACCAGTCCACTAAAATATACCATTAAAAAGCCAAAACATTTTTTACTTCCAAGGTATTAAGTTTGATATTTGCCCTTTTTCTGATCCTCTGGTCTTGGATCCTATTTTAGTATAATTATTCCATTAATATATAGTATTTGAAAAGTAAATTGTAACTGAACCATAACTGAATGTCTGGTCTTTAGGGCTTCAGGAACTACATGACAATTTGCCAGAACCTAAGGCAAAAAGAATGGAGCCCTGACTGCACGCCTCTCTTGTTTAGGTTTTTATAAGAGTCCTATTTTTATTACATGTAATGGAGATCGGCTTCATTACTGACGATCTGTAAGCTGCTACAGTCACTCTGGGAGACATTAGCCTGTCACCACTGAACCAGCTGGGTCACAGAATTCTGCAATAGGTCTCCTACTTTTTAGCTTTAAGGACAAAAAAATTAGTCACAAAGAACACAGCATTACTTGACTTTCAACACCAACCCCAGGATAATGGCAGTGATAAATTGGCATTGTCCAATACCTGCAGAGGCACAATGCCACTGCCACTTGGCAGACACAGAGAAACTTTCCAAGGAAACATCCACCACTAAACTTGAAGCGGGGTTAAAGTGCCCTCTAAGAAGGTGCTTGTTGAGCAAGACTAATACTATATGAAAAGATATGTCCAATATTCCACCCTGAGAAAACGATGCCACTTTTGTTTAAAGTGTGTATAAATCATTAGAAAGAAAGAAACATACCCAAATATCAATGATGGTTAGCTCAGGGATGCTATATTACAGCTACTTTTTAATTATTTTTTACTTGTCTGTATTTTTTTAATTTTCTACAATGAAAATTTTACTTTTGTAAAATTTTAGAAGTTTCTTTAAAAAATAATAATGATCAACAGTATCTATCTTGGCAACAGACCTAACCAAATTAGGTGCAAGCCTTGAATAAATCAAAGGAGAAATATTGTGTTTGAACTTTTGTGAGTTTGAGTAAATTTCTTACTTTTTCTGAGCCACATATTAGTCATGTACTGAAAGGCAGATACTGTTCTTAGTGATGAGGACACAGTGTTGAACAAGGTAAGCAAAGCTCTTTGTGGGGACAGAGGGACGACAATAAAATACACTATCAGGAAAATGTCAAGCTCTAAGTGTGGTGATAAAGATAATACAGGGTGCCGTGAAAGGCAGTAGGTGTGGGGCTTCTGTACACTGGATACCAGAGAAGACCTCTCTGCAGAGATAGCATTTAAACTGAGAGCGAAATGACAAGAAGAAGCCGGCCTTGAGGAAAGCAGGGAAGAGCATTCCAGGCAGATGGAACAGCCAGAGCGAAAGCCTATGGCAGAAACAAGCCTGATGTGTTCATGGTCTGAAAGAAGGCTGGCGTGGCCAGAGCCTTATGGCAAAAAGTGAGTGGAAAAACAAGAGGTCAGGGAGGCAAGCAGCAACCATGTCACACAAGACCCTTGAAACCGGCATTAGGATTGGGATTTTTATTCAAAATGTAATGGGAAACCACTGGAAGACTTTAACCATGAGAATGACATGATCTTGCTTATCTTACCAAAAGGGTAATCTAGCAGCTCTAAGGGGATTGGATTGAAGGGTGAAAGAACACAACAGGGAGTCTAGTTAGAGCCTCCTGCTAATTAGAGGCACTTCTGCCAGTGACAGATGGCAGAAGTTTTAACTAAGATGGCTAGAGTAAAGGTAGAGAGAAGTAGATGGGTGCTGTGAAATAGAGCTTATAGGGCTTACTGATGGATTAGATGGCAGAGAAGGAAAGAAATGAATCAAGAATGAAAGGCATTGATTCAACATGTATTTATGAGCACCTACTATGTGCCAGGCACTCTTCTAGTGCTGAGCAGCTGCTGGATGGTGACACCATATCCTAAAATGAACAAGACTAGAATAGGAGCAAGTTTGGGACAAATGGAACCAAAATTTCTGCTGGGACAGTTTAAGGTTAAGATGTTATATTCATTAAGGTAATTCTGGCTGCTTTTATAAGACAAAGACAAAACTCCAATGACTTAATACAATAAGATTTTATTTCTTGCTCAGATGAAATTCAAATCAGTTATTCCCAATTGGTGGGCAGCTCTCCTCCAAATGGTGATTCAGGGACCCAGGTTCCTTCCATGTGGTGGCCCCTCCATCTTCATTTAGTTTTAAAAGTCACTGAGCTCATATGCATCGGTCTATGAAAGATAAGAAATATGGAACATCACATGTGGGAAGTTTCAACGGGCCAAATCTAGAAGTGGTGCACATCACTTCTGCTCACATGTCATGGCTAGAAGTCAGTCACATGGCTGCACCTATTGGTACATGAGGCTGGAATGTGGGCACACGGTCTAGATGTGGGTTCATGAAGAGGATGTGTTTGGGAGACCGCCCAACAGTGTCTCCCACAGATAGCCCTTAGGCATCCAATAGAGAAGTCAATACAAGTTCAAGAGAGTGGTTTGAGCTACAGATAAAAACTTCAGCATGATCACAGTATAAATGGTAAGATTATCTAGCTGCAGTGTGTAGAGAAAAAAGTGAAAGGCCTGGATCATGTCATCCTTTGGAGGTCAAGTGGAGGATAAGGAGCCAGCAAAGGAGCCTAAGACTGAGCTGCCAGGGAGATGGGAGCAAAACCAGAAAGCAGCTTTCATGGGAAAAATGAGAAAAAACATTTCAAGAAGGAGGATGGTCAGCTGTATCAAACGCTGCTGAGAGAGCCAGGAAGATCAAGACAAAATAGTGACTATTGGATTGGAAACATAAAAGTCATTGGTGACCTTGACAAGGCCATTTCAGGGAGTCAATCAGGAGAGAATGTGGGATGAGGAAGTGGAGCACCTACTACATCATCAAGATACTTTGCTGCTAAGAGGAACAAAGAAATGAGGCAGAAACACAAATGGGATGTGGGATAAGTGAGCTCATGTGTTTAAGGTGAAAAATACTAGAACATGTTTAGATGCTTATGGAAATGATCTAAGTTAGAGGAATGGTGATACAGAAAAGAATGGAGAAAATTGCAGCACCAAGTCCCCGAGAAAGGATGTGGATAGGATCTAGAACACACGTGGAGAGGCTGGATTTAAGCAAGCACAGAACACATCCCTGTAAGAAGAGGGAAGGTGCTAGTGTGGACATAGATGCAGGCAGGTTAGTGGGGGTGAGTGGTGGGTGTTTTCTAAGTAAAGCACAAGGAAAGCTCCTCAACTGAGAGCAGGCCAGGAGGAGAGGATATGAGAGATTTGAGGAGAGAGGTGTTAAATAGTAACTTAGAGGGACAGAAAGCATTTTCCTATGAGGGACATGCAGTAGGAATGTCAGGTGGATGACAGCTCATTTGAGATTTGTAGTACTCATTTTAATGAGATAAGCTGGCCCAATGGTACATTTTCTCCAACAAGTTTCAGCTGCCCAAGTATAGCCATAGGGATACAGGTAGATGGTGCTAACCAGAGCTGGGTTTTGCCAGGAGGAGCATAGAGTCAGGGGTGTAAGAAAGCATGAGAGGGATCCTAATCACGAACTGAGGAATCCTACCTGGGAAAGGTAGGAGTGAGAACATGAAGATAAACAGAGAGTGAAAAGAGGAAAGTATCCCTGGCCCGGAAGTCTCCATGAATGTAGGGAGAGTGGTAACAATAAGGTCATTGAGTGTGCCCGCAGAGTGGGCAAAGGAATGGGGAGGAGGTAAGGGCTTTGGAGGTGAAGAGGTAAGGCAATAGAGAGGCTAGAGGGTTCATAGATCAAACACCTGAATATTGAAGTCACCATCACCAGGAATTGAGAGGATGAAGAGAGCAAAGTATGACAATGAGCTAATTGCTAACTCCATCAGTGAGCCTGGTGGCTGCACTGGGTACCACCCCCAACCCATTACCCTTCTCCACCTTGCACATACAGAACACATGAGCAAGTTGCCT